CATCTGAGCAGTAACAATTTTTAAGTCTGAAACGGTCGGGTGTGTGACAAACAGGGTGGTTTATACGGAAGAGGGGCTGGCACTCGGCGTGTGGACCAAATGCGTGTTTGTTTAGGCATTGTTGGAGGAGCAATTGTTTAAAACCTGAATTTCCCGTCTCTGTGTATTGATTTCCAATGCGCAGAGGCGTTGCTTGAACGCTGTTTGAACTCCTGGGCATTCCAAAGGGGCAAAAGCACTTCGGCAAAAACGTGCAAGACTGCATGTTACTTTGGTTCGCTGCTGACACGCCGACTGTGCGCCGTGCTGTCAATCACAGGGAGCAGCAACAGCCAGCACATGGCAGCGGGCGGCGGACGGCCCGCCCCGCGTCCGAGCGCCTGGAAAGAGGGAAATTAATGTGTTTTTATCTCTAATCCTCTGTAGCAGGCACCTCGGCCGAAGAACAGGAGGTTCGGAGGACTGGGAGTGAGCGCTGGCCAGGGAAGCTGACCTGCCAGGACCGGAGCGCCCGGGACGCGGCGCCCCACTTGCGCAAAGTGCGGATCAGGACAGTGCCTGGACCTGCGCGGGGCCAGAGGACGCCCCGCCTCTTCCCCCGAGAGAGCCCCCCATCCTCGCTCCCTTCACCACCCCCCTAAAAGAGCGGGTAAAAAGGCCCACCCCCACCCCCGGGGAGCGGCGGCCTTGGCCTCGCGGGCGTGCGCTCCCCGGCCCTGCTGCAGACGCAGGTTCGAGACCCGTCCGGGAGGGGGATCTTCGCCGGTCCACTGCTGCCTTTCGCACGAGGAGCGATCGGCACCGAGAAGCCCTCTGGTTCGCGCGCGGCGCGCACTGCCCTCGCCGCCGCTCCCCGGCCGCTTGAGGAACCCGGGGCCTCCGAGGGGACTGCCCTTTGGTTCTTGGACGGGCTGCGGGAGAAGAGACCAGAGGTGGATGCTACTGAACCGCGCGTCCGAAGAGAGCTGTGAGCGGTGTGCGCCGGAGCCGTGAGCTCCGCGGCCGGAAGGGGGCCGCGGGGAGCGCTCCTGCCCAGC